GTTGAATTCTTTCACCCTGATTGGCTGAGGTAAAGGCGGTAACTGGCCAATCACCGGGCAGTCTGAAAGCAAGGCCCGGTCTGTGGAACTCGCCGCTGGTTGGCTGGTAAGCGGACGGCAAGTGACCAATCAGCAGTTGTTGGGGAGAGTATCCATTACACTACTCCTACAACAACAGATGCTCAACAAAACATAACGATAGATAATACATATCGTCAAAAAATATGATCAGCAAAGAAAAATCGTTAATTATCCTCGCCTCTTTCAGAAACGGCTTTGATATCACTACTCCTGTTGGTCTGGAGCGCGGTGACAACAGCCGCCGCATCCCAGCACACGTCGTCAAACCCGGAGCTCTAGTTGCCTTATTAGGCAAAGTACTTGTAGTACAAGACATTATACCTGTCAAGTACGAGCTCCACGATCTAATGTGCATGCCAGGGCACCTGAGGTCAATAGCTGTCCACATTGAAACCGCTATGCAAACTCTGCAAGATCTCCAACAGCAATCTACAATCTTTACAACACTCATACAGACCATCTCACTTCAGAACGACCGTATGAATAGTCTACTCAAACGAGTAAATCATTTCGAGGGAAAGCTCCCTATATCTCCTGAAGACATCTGGAAAAATGTACATTCTCAGCGGCGTCAAAAACGCGGTCTATTTAATTTTGTTGGTTAAATAAGTAACACCCTGTTTGGTAAGGCAACCGCCGAAGATGTAGCTAAACTGTGGGGAACAGAATGCATGCACTTTCAGAAGCGGTTACGACACAAAATGGGGCCATTGAACAGTCCTACAAGGCAGTACAAACTCTGACCTCTCACATGAATGCTATTGTTGACGAAACTAATCAACTAACATGCATTGTCCAGGGATTCACACGGTCAGAATCTACACTGGAATGGCTACTCTGCTTTACAGAATATATGCATGCAGCTGAAGCCTCTGTACAAAGAAACCAACAGCAGGCTCATAGCTGATCTAGTGAATGCAGGATAGGTCATAGGTCATGTTGATGCACAGTTGTTGCCGCTTTACACATAGCTACAACTAAATATCATCCAACTCCTATCTTTCAGGAGCATTAAGTGATTCGTTGAGCACTTCGGGTGTATGGCATTCGCGGTGAACCTTAACCCCGTGCCCGAAATGCAAGAAAATCCCCAACCACATTCACCTGCTCCCAGACGCTAAGCCATACGAGGTGCACAAGCCCACTACAATACCCAACCATTTCTACGACGAGGTTCGCTAGCAGCTCGAGGAAGACAGGAGGAGGGGGATCATCGGTCCTGTGCCCTTTGGAGAGCCGAGAGAATGGTGCTCTCACATGGAGTTCGTACCCAATAAGAACAGGCGGTCGCATAGGACGGTAGACTTTCAGCGCCTCAACCAAGCAAGCCAGCACAAGACCCCCCTTCGTCATGATCTCCAGCGTCCCAAAGCACAATTAAAGATGGTGGCGGATGCATACTCTGGGTACCACCAGATCCCACTTGATGACGAGAGCAAGAGACTCACAACGTTCATTACTCCCTGGGGCTGATTCCGCTACAAGCACACCCCCATGGGCCACTGTGCGGCGCAGGATGTGTTCACCAGGCTTCACTGACGACGTGGTGGCGGACATACCAAGGAAATGAAGTGCGTCGATGACACTTTATTATACGACCGCAGCATCACAATTCTGGCACACGTACGATTTCCTCGAAACATGTGCGAAGGGCAGGGTCACTTTCAGGCCCAACAAGTTTCGCTTCTGCAGGAGGAGCGTGACATTCGCGGGCTACCTTCTCGACTGAGAGGATCACCAGCTGAGCCAGGAACCTCATCAGCAGCATCACCGAATTTTGCATGCCACCCAAGCCCTCAATCACCAACATACAATCCTGGTTCGGTCTCGTGAACCAGGTGGCCCCCTTCATCGCTGTCGCGCCCCTGATGGAGCCCTTTCACGACTTACTGAAGAAGCCCGCCAGCAAGACAGTCTATTGGGACAGCCAGTTGCGTGCGATTTTCTAAGAGACAAGAGAGGTGGAGGGCAAACTGGTCTGTGGAGGGGCTGCAGTACTACGACGTCTCGCGGCCAACAATGACTCTCACCTACTTCAGCCGACAGGGGATAGGCTTCATTATATTGCAACAGTACTCCCAGTGCATGACTCCAGAGACACCCCTATGTTGCAAGGGTGACTGGAAGCTGACTTTGTGCAGCAGTTGCCACCTGATGCCAGCTGAGAAAAACTATTCCACTCTGGAGGGCGAGGCACTAGCCATTGTTTGGTGCCTGAAGAAAGCCCTCCTGTTCCTGCTCGGGTGCTCGGACCTCACCTTGGCCACTGACCATCGCGTGCTGATGAAGATCTTCAAAAACAAGGAACTCAAAAACATCGGCAATCCATGGATACTTAACCTGAAGAAGACAATGATGTATTCATTCCACATCAAGTACCTACAAGGGAAAGACAACTGTGCAGCCAACACCCTCTCAAGGTACCCTATGCTGCGCGGTAAGCCTGAGGAGTCTGACAGGGAGGACGACGAGGACGTGAGAGCATCAGCAGCAGCCACCATGGCTTGTGCCATGGAGGGTGAAGACGTATTCGTCGTGGACCAGCGTCTTTTGAAGGAAGAGGCTGGGTGTGACGATGAATACAGGCTGCTGCATGCCCGCATGTCGACCGGCGATTGGGCAGACTGCAAGGATGTCAAGCCACTCACTCTCCACCCTTTCTACAAGATGTGGTAGCACCTGTCATCCCACGGAGACCTGATCGCGTTCGCCCATGATGAAAGACACCTACGGCTCGTGATCCCCTCAGCCCCGAGACGTGCAGTGCTTAATAATCTACACGCAGGGCACCAGGGCTGCGACTTCATGCTACGGTGGGCTAGGCAGTCGGTGTACTGGCCCGGCATAGACGCAAAGGTAGAGCAGAAAACGCATCAGTGCCAGGTGTGTGAGCGGCACGCAACTTCCCCCCCCCCCTCCCCCGCAGAGCCCTGATACCCACACCACCGCAGGGGTACCCATTCGAGCAGGTTGCGGCCGATCTGTTCCAGCTGGATGGGCACACGTACCTCACACATGCGGACCGGCTCATGGGATGGCTGGAGGTGGAGCACCTACCGAATGGCGCCACAAGCGACAATTTGGTGTCCACCCTCAGGAGGCTTTTCAAATGGTCTGGTATCCCTAAGTTTCTATCGTGTGACAGAGGGACCAACTTGATGAGCGCTGAAATGTTGAAGTTCCTCAAAGACTGGTGTGTGACATCCAGGGTGTCGTCAGCACACTACCCACAGTCCAACGGTTGGGCCGAGGCCGCAGTGAAGTCGGTCAAAAGACTATTGAGGGGCAACATGGGTCCAGGGGGCTCCTTAGACAAGGACAAGGAGGCGAGGGCCCTGATGCAGTACCTAAACACACCACTGCAGGACTCCAACGCATCCCCGGCACAGCTCTTGACGGGGCGACAGCTGAAAGACTCGGTGCCGGCCACCAGGCAGCACTACAACATCAGCAGGGACAGGGGGAGGTTGCTGAGGAACAGGGAACGCGCGATGGGGAGCACCAGTGAGAGCATGTCGCGGAGGTTCAACCTGACCACCCACAACCTCCTGCCACTCGAATGAGGTCAACGGGTACGTGTCCAGAACCAGGAGATGGGGCAGTGGGACCGGTCGGAGGTGGTGGTGGAGTCATCGGCCCCCAGACAGCACCTGATCTGCCTGGACGGCAGCGGACGAAAGATAATCAGGAATCGCCGCCACCTCCACCCCTCAACGCCCACCACCATGCCCAAAGCCAACACCGACGTCACAACAACACCAGCGCCACCCGCCGTGAGGCCCGTGAGGACACCGCACACTCCCAAGCACCTTCAGGATTATGTCTCTTAGACAAGGACTGCCCCCATATTTCACTTATGTGTTAGCATTTTGCCATAATGGATCTAATTCTAGTCTGTATCAGTTGTATATTGAAGAGAACCTGTAGTGGATTTCTCCCCTACAAACGCTGTTTGTCGCTGAGTAGCCGACCCCCGCAAATTCCACAGTGTGCGCCTCGTGGTCTAAGTCAACCAGCGTCGCCTTACATGACGGAGGTCAATTACTAAGCCACGCCTACCTCCGCTATTTAAGACCTGACCTCGTGGTGACCACTCTCTTTTCTACCTACACCAACCAGCCAGCAACACCTCCTCCTCCTCCGCCTGCCTGGTGGTCCTCGCTCCCGCCGGCGAGCATGGCGACCCACAAGCTGGTCCTCCTCTGAGCATCCTCACCAACCAGCTCTCTCTACATCACGCTTGTAACCACGCTGCCACTTCCCAGCACCAAGCTGTATTGTACATCCAATACAACATGTATACAGAGAGCACATCGTGAGTTTCCTTTCTCCAACCCATCCTGAGTGTGAACCAAACATCTCGTACCCCACAAACCTTCACTCATTTTGTATACATTCAGTTTTCAACTTTGTCACTTGTGTATCATTTTGCTGGGTTTTGGACGGGTTCTTTGCAATAGAGGGGGGTGTTGGGGTATGTGCTGGTTTGGCAACAGTGTATCGGTCCACCAACGGACGTGGAGTTAGTTCCGGCTCAGACGCCTCACTGTGAGGACATGTCTGTCCCCACTTGTCACCTTCACCAATAAATGGACTATGGACGCGGCCCTGTGCCCTGTCGGCTCCACTGGGGCAGAAACGGGAGACACTGTGTATTCTATCAGCAGTTTTAGGAAGCTACCGGGAACAAAGGCTGAAATGCTGCCATCTGTTGGTGGGATTACTTACTAAATTTTTTAGGCAAAAAAAAAAAAAACCCTGGGTTTGAATAAAAGGCTAAGGCAAGCAAAGAATTAAGAGACAAATGAGAACACTGATATTTCTTATTATTCCAGAGGTGTACCATTAAGAAACCTAACATATTGTGTTACAGATCTTACTAGCTCCTTCAATCTCTTCCATGTGACTATTTCTTACAGTGTCTAGCCAACGTCCATTGTCAGCTGAGTGTCCCCCCTCAGCCTACCGGCAGTGGCTCCTGGTGACAAGACAAACTGAGACTACCAAATCTCAGGGGCTAGATGAGACCAAAGTAAGCATGGAGGGTCTGCAGCAGTGCCACCACCACCACCTGGGCCACACCACTTGCCATCCTCAGGTACAGTAACATGGTAAAAAAAATTTACTTCTCACACATAGCCACTTACTCAAGAAATCACCATTTGATTGACTACTGCCTCCGAAAATGTTTATTTTCTACAAATATCTCACCATAGATTACAATATAGTACTACACTAAAAGTTAAGTTCTCTCATTGGTTAAAAAATTTCCAGGTTTGAGAGATTTCCGGGTACAGTATTGAGACGAATTGTCTTATCCCTGGAAAAAATTGCACATCTACGGAATTTTTCCAGACACTGGTGAATGTTTCCGCATCTGGCACGGAACACCATTGCTACGAAGGCTTAACAGCAGTTGAAAAGACACAGAGCGGTATTTATTTATGAAAACACTACTGTGCACACACAGTATATTGTTAATAAACAAAACAAAATACTGTATACACTATACAGTACTGTAATGTGCTGTAATCACCAGCAGATGCTGTCATCTCGAGCTTGTGATGCAGGCAGGCCAAAGGTGATATGATGATACAGGATGGCCTGTCTTTGTCCTGTACCATCTACTGTAGCAGCCTAGCAGGTGCTGCTAACTGTCACTCTCATCTCCTTCATAAAGGAAGGATTGTACATGAACTGTACTGTAGTATACTATACTGTACAATGTAGAGTATACAGTGCATGTATAGTAAACATACACCCTCTACACACTAGCCTACAGTAGGCATAGTGTCCACTTTTATATATCCAGTACTGTACAGTACAGTAAGTATGGTATTTTCACACTTACTGAATGTACAGCATGGTACAATTTACATGACCATTTTAATGGTATTCTTGGCTGATTATATCCTGGTGCTGTAATGTACAGTACTGCACGACAGATCATATGCGAGTGAGGGAACAAGTGCGTATTTTACAATGAAAGCTGACAATGAACTAAGAGTGTCATCATGCTAGAGTTTGAGGGGTAGATTGCAAGATACATCAGCCATGCAGCCATAGGCATCTCATACAGTCATATGACAGTACTGTACTGTAGTAGCTAATCATAACTCACAAGCACTCTGACTCTGAACCTACCCACCCACGTGCTCAGCACGTGTCGGTACATGATGCAATCATTTGGAAATTCATTCGAATGAAGAGATTTTCTCTGAATATTTTGGAATACACCAATTCCCCCATTAACATCCTTGTTAGGTTCCTGAACACCATGACTTTAAGTCAAACAACATTAAGTGAAAACGATTTTACCATAGACAATGATATAAATAGGGGTTATGTTCCTTGGATACATTTCTGGTCAAAAGTTTCTCACAACTTCCCACAAATGTTTCACTTTCAGCACAATTATCTTCTTGTTTTAAAGTTTCAAATAAGCTTAGAGCTTTTGCTTGTATGGAGAGCAACGAACATGGAGTTTTGTTGATGATCCTTGATCCACATGTTCAGCATTCTTTCCATATTTTCCATAATGTCACTTCTGTTATGAGTTAACTTTGTAGCAGATAATGGAGTAACACTTATAGCACATGATTTGATATTTTCTGCATTTCCACAAATTGTAGACTGCAAACAAACAGCTCTTGCTATGCCCACAGGTCACTGTCTTTCTTCAGATCTCTTTACCACATCTAATTTAACTTCTAATTTAACACTTTTCCTCTTCTTTCTGTGACGACAAGTAGTAGTGGTGCATAATGCATGTTTAGCACTCATTGTTCTAGAGGTCAAATATATTTATAATTGGATTTTGAGTGAATGTTGGAAGAGCATCAACCAACTACAGCTGCTCCCTGACTTATGACGGGGTTAGGGACCGGCATCCAGGTTGTAAGTCGAAATGGTCGTAAGTCGGAAATGCTTAAATAATACATAGAAAATCTAAAATGGGTGTCTCTTTTTCTTCTCAGCACCACAAAACACTCACTTTTAAGCTTGCCAGCCATTTTAAAATGAATTACGGATGAAAATTTTGTCTGTGTACTGACTTTAGGACTCAAATATACGTAATTTGACCAAATTTTGGTACTACTGAGGCAGGTCGTAAGTGCGGGTGGACATAAGTCGAGTAGGTCGTAAGTCGGGGAGGAGCTGTACTAAACAATAACAAACAGATATGGCACCCACACCGGTCGCTTACACAGCCAGCTGTTATCACAATCAGGCGCTGAGCAACTTTGACCATTTTCTTAAAATTGTCGTACATTTATAATTTTCATAGATATTTGATCTTTTTTTCAATGACGTCATAACGAAATTACGTTGACTGAAACAATGTTAATGGGGGAATTGGTGTACAGTGGTATATCCGTTAGCCGTAACAATTGGTACAGAAAACTTCTGGGAATTAGAGACGTCCGGGTAACAAGATGGCCATCTCAAAGCCGGAAAAAAATCTCTCATCCCTGGAATTTTCCAGGTTACAGAAAAATATTCTCGGAGTGTTCCAGAAAATGTGCCTCTCGGAAAATTGTTCCCAAAGCCGTAATTTTTCAGAAAATTCCGGCTTAGGGAATGATTTTCAAAGAAAATTTAAATTCCAGCTATTGGAGAGTTCCAGTTAAGAGGGATTCCGGCTAACGTTGACATTACTCAAAAATTTTATTTTCCGAGTGTATAAGTATTCTTGTTCAGTGTTATTTGGTTTATCGATAAAATTTTTTCACACCCTTTGTCACTTAACAATGGGTCAAAATTCAGTTTAGCGATAGTTTGACTCACTGTGAAGGGAGAATAACTGGGGATGGGGTGGGCTATGAGATGGCATATTGCCTTAGAAATAAAGAAAATATAATATGAAACAATAAAATAAGAAAAATTAAGAGTATGGGGGTGTATGCGTGAAGTGAGCGTATTTGTCGAAGCAGTGGGTTGCAACTATGTCGCAAACCCAGCAGTGCTCCCTGACTCCTTCCCCCAATGTGATGTCATGGCATATACACAGCACGGCAGCAACCACACATCTCTGAGTCAGCTGGACGACTGTCTGACTGAACTGTATTGTGTCACCCAGAGGATGGTTTGAGTGTGGAAGGAGCTATTTTTTTTACATAAAATATGTACTACAGTCTCTCCTCGACTTACAACGGGGTCCGTCCCGACGACCAGGTTGTAAGTCGAATTGGTCGTAAGTCGAAAAGGCGAAAATAATACATAAAAATTCTAAAATGGGTGTCTCTTTTTCTTCTCAGCACCACAAGAACTCTCACTTTTACACTTGCCAGCCATTTTAAAAGGAATTAAAAAAAAAAATTGTCAGTACACAGCGCGATCACTAACGTCGGGACTCGAAAATACGTAATGTGAAAAATATTTTATATGACCATGGCCGTCGTATGTCCGGGTTGTCGTAAATTGAGGAGAGGCTGTATTTTATTTTATGATAAGCTATATATCAACTTTATTTTTATCATTGTATTTTTTCATTTTTGACGTATGCAATTTGAAATTTCCTTGAATTTGACTCGCCTTTTGCACACTAAATCGTTTAACTCTGAATCGCATCATTTATTTAGAAGGTGGGTGTCACTAACTAAATTGTTTAACTTCGAAACCGTTTACAAAAAACTTATTTATTATTATCATTAGAGAGTACAGTACAGGTAAACCTCAAGATACGATGGGTTAGGTTCCTGAAAAACCATCACGAAGGAGCATTATAACATGGGGTACGTTCCGAGCCAGTCCCCAAACACACATGTATCACCGCCAAAACAATTCCAACAATATTACTATCAGCACAAAACAATAAAACAACACTCATCACATCATGAAGAATAACCCTGGTCATCATCATAACATGTCCCCTTCGAGGCTAAGGGAACTCTTGTTGGTGGAGACATCACTGTGACTCCCACACAGCCTCTGGGAATTCTCATGCTGCTTAACAATGTCAGAGACACAGTTGTCTTGGATGCCTTGGCCTTCCCAGACATTTTCAAAGTTACACTGCTCACTTCACAGTCACAAAAACAGTGCAAAAGCAATTGTCACAAAAGCAGAGTGAAGAATAATAACAAAAACAATGATACTGTAGGATATGGGATGTTTGGTTCACACTCAGGATGGAATGGAGAAAGGAAACTCACAATGTGCTCTCTATATACATGTTGTATTGGATGTACAATGCAGCTTGGTGCCGGGAAGGCAGCATGGTTACAAGCGTGATGTAGAGAGAGCTGGTTGGTGAGGACGCTCAGAGAAGGACAGCTTGTGGGTCGCCATGCTTGCCGGCGGGAGAGAGGACCGCCAGGCAGGTGGAGGAGGAGCGAGGGTCGCCAGGCAGTGGTGGAGGAGGTGGTGTGTTGCTGGCTGGTTGGTGTAGGTAGAAAGAGACAGGTCACCACGAGGTCAGGTCTTAAATAGCGGGGGTAGGCGTGGCTTAGTAGTTGACCCCCGCTCCATGATGTATGGCGGCGCTGGTTGACCTAGACCACGAGGCATACACTGGGGAATTGGTGGGGTCGACTACTCAGCGACAAACAGCGTTTGTAGGGGAGAATTCCACTACAATACTCCCCCTTCCCTCCAGGCGGTGTAGGAGACTTGTTGTCTGCAGGGTTGCTTAGCACATGTGAGGCAGAATGGGCGGTGCATGCCTCATGTGAGACAACGGCGATGGCGTGGATGAGCCGGTCGCTGGATACAACTGTCTATATACACACTATCTATGGGAGAAGAGAGGGAGAAAAAGGGTGTGTGGAGGCGATGAATGTTGTGCTTCCCTCACGGCAGGTACAGAGTCGTCAGATGCTCCTGCTGGGGTGTGTGGGCCTGGGTCAGGAGCAGGGGCTGCGTCAGCAGAAGCGGATGAGGGCTCGTGACAGCAGCTGGGTCCACGACAGCAGCAGGGTGCAGGACATTAGCAGGGAGTACCTGAGGGAGAAAAGAGGGGTGTGTGGGTCCGCACTCAGGAACAGAGGCCGCGTCAGGAGCGGCAGGGGTTACTGCTAGGCCGGGGTCGGCGTCTGAGGCAGGACGGGTGTGCTGGGGTCGGAAGAGGAGCGACTGTCTGCTTAGAGTAGCAGAGCTGCTCTAGGGTGTCTAACCTGCGGTATAGAGACAGTAGCTGTAGAGCTGATGAGAGCTGCTTCTGTGTGGATAAGCCAGTCTTCCATGTTGCTTGAAGACTGGGAGCGTGATCAGTTTCTCCTCCATCCTGTGTGAGTGCGAATCTCCGGGAGTCACCATTTGTGGGGTTCAGGATGTTTGTTTCACACTCAGGATGGGATGGAGAAAGGAAACTCACAATGTGCTCTGTATATACATGTTGTATTGGATGTACAATGCAGCTTGGTGCTGGGAAGGCAGCATGGTTACAAGCGTGATGTAGAGAGAGCTGTTTGGTGAGGACGCTCAGAGAAGGACAGCTTGTGGGTCGCCATGCTCGCCGGCGGGAGAGAGGACCGCCAGGCAGGCGGAGGAGGAGCGAGGGCCGCCAGGCAGCGGCGGAGGAGGAGGTGTGTGTTGCTGGCTGGTTGGTGTAGGTAGAAAGAGGGCAGGTCACCACGAGGTCAGGTCTTAAATAGCGGGGGTAGGCGTGGCTTAGTAGTTGACCCCCGCTCCGTGATGTATGGCGGCGCTGGTTGACCTAGACCACGAGGCATACACTGGGGAATTGGTGGGGTCGACTACTCAGCGACAAACAGCGTTTGTAGGGGAGAATTCCACTACAATACCTACAATGCTCACATTCTCAAAACAAAAGAGTTGATGCACCATTCAATCACAAAAACACAGAAAATATCACTTCACAATCACCATAACACAGTTCAATCAAAATGTTAGTGCTGTCCTCTCACTACATAAGAAAAAAACTAGGATGATAAGTACAATATACGATGCTGGCCGATAATCATGGAGCCATGCGATGGCGGGTTTACGATCGACAAAAAAAAAACACAGGGCTGTATTGCACGGGTCGGCCGTATGGCAGCGCGTGGGTGGGCTTATAAGTGAAAGTAGAGATGTATCATGTGTCGGGTTAAATATTGTTTCCTTATAAAATGTCACTCACCGAAGAAGAAAATGTAATTTACATTGCTGGAATCCTTGCAAGACAGAGATTAATTTGAGTACTAGGGTATATGCAACCCATAGTTTGCACTAGAGATAGAAAAAAATTCCAACCAATGGATATTGATGACTATTCGATGGATATCGTTCAAGCGAGTTATTTTGATTGTGCTTGTATATAGTGAGATGGTCTTAATTTATGGCCATCCTTAAGGCGGAATCTCGATTCTCGAGATATTGTATCTCAAGGTTTTCCTGTACCGAACAGTACTCATTGTCTACCGTCCTGCCATTTGAACCTGGTGTTCTACGTCCATACTTTGCTGTTATACCTTGTTTAACAAAAATTTCCCCTAACGTAAGATTTTTCAAGAACGAAACCCATCTTTAAACGAGAGATACCTGAATGGAAAGTTCCAGGGATCAAAGATTCATAAACTTCATAAACTGTTTCAATAAAACCTAACAAAGAAAACATGATTCACTTACATATTTTTAATAGCTTTAAATACCAAATTCCGTCCACATATACTAAATTTAGAACTGATATAGGCTAGTGAACTTATTTGACATTGTTCATTTATAATGTCTGCAATATACTGCACTTAAGTTTGTAATCAAGGCTAACCTAAACAAGCATAGAAAATGGCTGTAAAATGGTGACAATGATAGTTTTGCTCTGAAAGTTCAATCTTTAAACTGTATATTTGTATTATTCTTACCAATAATTTGATTTTGTTAATAGAGAATATCTTTATCAACAGAGAGGCTGGTTACACACTATCTGCCCGCCAGAACCAGAACCAGAAACATCACCACCAAAACATAATAAGAACTACAAAAAGTCACACAGAAATCACCATCAGCTAAGCCATGGACAAATGCGACCCTCATACAAATTATCTCATTTCTTTTGGGGGGTTAGTGACCACGTGGGTCAGGATGACCACCAAGAGACCACTAAAGAGTTCCATGCTGGTGAGTCCTTTTTACATGAGAGCAAGAGAATGAAGAGGATGGCTACAACAAGTGAGGCTCAGACAAACTCAGAAGAAAATTTAGGATCTCATAAGGCAGAGACAGCCTTACCCTCGCAAATGAATGAGATGAGAGTTGCACCAATGGCAAAACCAGAAAATTTGAATTTAGACCTGATTGAGAGTATTATGCAAGATTTTTCAGGCTTTACAAAATCAAAGGTAAATAAAATTAAAGGCACAAAACATACCCAAGGGAATTCTAAAATGACTCAGAATGATCCAGAAATAGATGGTCACAGAGCAGATACACCACATGTTCTGGGAGAAATAACACATCAAAACCTCCATGATAAAGATGCCATGGAAAATTCTGGCAAAACAGAAGACAATAAAAGTGAAGGAAATGCCTCACCTAAGATTGATGGAAAACTTGCAGAAACCTCTGGCTCACATACAAGTGAGAAGTCTAAGGGACAAACTTCAAATGAAAATGACTCGCATAGAACTCAAGAACAAATACAAGGTAAAGAAGAAAGAACTAAGATAGAAGTAGGAGGTGAGGAAGAGACAGGACCAAACATTTTAGTAGGAGTGGGACCGATCTTTGTCGAAGAACCAGAGGACCTAATCATAGAAGCAGCTGAAGCAGAGGAACCTGTGGATGAAACAATGCCAGGAGAGGTAGTTGTTATAACAAAACTGGAAAATTTAAAAGAAGGTAGAGAAACGGTCACAACAAAAGGAAGCAATACAACTACAGAAAAGAAACCCATCATATTCCCAGTGCTACCAGAATTTACCAATCCTGAAGGTCTTGAGAGTGTTAGTTCTAATGTTATCAACACTGGGTCTTCAAATGTGGAAAATGCAGACAAAACAATCAAAAACACATCACTACCAAAGGGAGGCACACCACCAGTACCATCATCGAACACATTACCAATCATTTTTCCAAGAGATGACAGTCAACTACAACAAAATAGTGACAAAACTAAAGCTGAAGATGTAGCAGCTACTAATGCTGCTATAGTTAAAACCCCTCAAGACAACACAACAGATCTGGCTGAAGGTGGTCTAGTCACAGCAGCTGGGGAACAGTCAGGAATTGGTCAATTAGGTATCACAGTTGTGATGCAAGATATGACAGTTAAACCTTCTATAAATAACATATCACCTCAACGTGTAATGAATGCCTCAGATGATAAGCCTGAGAAGGATGACATGGAAGCTCCTAAGATGGATGATATGAAAGCTCCTGAGATGGGTGACATGGAAGAAAAATCTGAGATGGGTGACACGGAAGAAAAATCTGAGATGGGTGACACGGAAGAAAAATCTGAGTTCGGTGATATGGAAGAAAAATCTGAGATGGGTGACATGGAAAAAAAATCTGAGATGGGTGACATGGAAGAAAAATCTGAGATGGGTGACATGGAAGAAAAATCTGAGATGGGAGACATGGAAGAAAAATCTGAGATGGGTGAGATGGATGACATGGAAGAAAAATCTGAGATGGGTGACATGGAAGAAAAATCTGAGAAGGGTGAGATGGAAGAAAAATCTGAGATGGGTGAGATGGAAGAAAAATCTGATATGGGTGACATGGAAGAAGAGCCAGAGATAGATGGCATAATGGGTGACATGGCAGGAAAGAGAGAAATGGATGAAACAGCAAAAGTTCACAATAAGGATAGTGCCTCAGACATGGGGGAGAAAACTAATACAGATGACGGAATAACTGGTCCGCACACAGATAAGCACGTTGGCAACTTCATGCCAGAAGGTACTATGAAAGAAACTAGCAGTTCTACAGGGGAACAGATTTCTAACAAAAAAACTCCTTATACATCTGACAGCGAGGAAGATATCAATTCTGAGGAAGAAAGTAAACAAAGTATGAGGCATACAAACAATTCAAGCGGACAAGGCACACAAGGTCTACTCAGTCAGATATTCAGAGGTATATTTGGTTAAGTTCACTGCTTGATTCCTCTGCAAACACCTATTCCATCACCACACTCACATATCAAGATTAAAGTCATACTGTTTAATACATTAAAAACTGAAAGGATATACTGTATAAAGTTATAACTTATTTTAATGCCAAGTGTAAAAGGGCTAATATATATATATATATATATATATATATATATATATATATATATATATATATATATATATATATATATATATATATATATATATATATATATATATATATATATAGATTGACAATCCCTTATCCGAAATCCTTGGGGCCAGAGGCATTTCGGATTTCGGAATTTTTCGGTTTTCAGAATGGTTAGTTTTTTTTTTTTTTTAGCCCACCCGAGCATAGATCACTGACCCACATCAGTGCCTGGGGGGCGAAAATATAATAAAAATTATAATAATAATTATAATTCATAGGTCTAGGTCGTGTTTCTCACTTTTGATCTTTTTTTTCATTCTTGTATTTTTTTTATTATTATTATTATTATTATTATTATTTTATTAGTACAGTACTACTGTATTATTGTTATTTTTATTAATTTTATTATTTTATAATTATTATTATTATTATTATTATTATTATTATTATTATTATTATTATTATTAATGTTATCATATTATTTTATTTTGGTGTATTTTTATTAAACATTTTATTTACTATGAATAATTATTATTATTACTATTACATTTTCGCCCCCCAGGCCCTGATGTGGGTCAGTGATCTATACCCGGGTGGGCTAATCCCTGTTTAATAAAAAAAAAAAAAAAAAAAAAATATTGCCTAAAAAAAAATTCATTTCAAACTTTCAGTTTTATTTCGGATAAGGTTGTCAACATATATATATATAGCATGTATATATATATATACTATATATATATATATATATATATATATATATATATATATATATATACTATATATATATATATATATATATATATATATATATATATATATATATATATATATCTGACATACTACTATACAATATATACAAGTAAATCACTGTGGGTAGCGTGATCTGGGTATGTGCTGATAACCACAGGAAAGAAAAACAAAGTTCCCAAGCACTCGTGTAATTCACATCTTCAGGGGTGAGGTACAGACTGTGCGCCACTGACGTGTTTTCTTCTTTCACTGATTATATATATATATATATATATATATATATATATATATATATATATATATATACAGTATATATATATATATTCTTATTTAGTCCATCTAAAGTGATAATATATACTGTACTGTACAATATTGAAGTACCTCACCAGCCAAGGATTTGAACCCAGGACCTCTGAGTGGGAATTAGGAGTATTAACCACTAAACCACAATAACTCTACAAGCTAACCTCGACTTTGTAACACACATAAAGCCTGCTCTTTTGTCTTTTACAGCAATCAGACCCTATAAATGAGGTTAACCTGAACCACTTAAGTACTGTAGTTTGGTTAAAACATATTTAGAGTATAAATTGGTAGCGTGACGAGAGGAGGCTCGTGGGTATATGTAATGATAGTATCAAGTAATAGGGAAGAAATAACGGTAGATACTGTAGGTAAATAATAGACACAATATACAAATACAAAATTTATTTAAACATTAATATGGAGGTAGGAGAAAGAATATATGTACCAACAGACGAAATCTGGTACTATGCCCTCAGGCTCAACATACTCACACCACTACTGGGTGGACATACTCAATAACACAAACTCTTACAGTAACTTAGCACCATTAAGACCAGGGGCAACTGCCATTACAACACTCAGTCGTCAGGAGTGATACTCAAGCAATCGCCATGGGATCCTGCCACCATGGGGTACTTTCCAACGCACTCTGAAGATCCCAATGGAATAACCCCACCACACAAATAGCCCTACTGAGTTAGACACTCATCCATCAATGATGGGGGCTGGTAGTGGTGTGTGGCTTGGTGATCCGGGGTCACCTAGCGGGCCGGGCCGAGCGTTAGGGTCAGACGAGCCAGCTATGGGGGCCATAGGTAGTCTGAAGTGTCTGACGGTCGGGTCTCACGAAGGTAACTGATCCTACTGGACCTCGGACATCTCCCCAGACATAGTGGATACAACATCCACGCTACAGACACGGCCTAGGCTGCATTAGGGACCTGTATGGGTGAAGGGGCGAGCACTTACTAACGGTGGCAACGACATCACATTTCAGGGGATGTTAAAGAGGTAAATATTACTTCACTCAGAGCAAATCAACTACGTTACTGTAACACTTGCACAATCAACTATTAATTGGGTCAAATCACTTAAAGAAGGGCGAATTACAACACAGAGTGGAATGACCTACCTGTATGGGTGAAGGGGCGAGCACTTACTAACGGTTGAAATGCCCGCGGCACCCTCACTCAAAATAGGTCAGGGAGTCTACCTACTTCTATTTCAATGAATTAATTTATTGTACACTCTGACGTTGAAACTGAGACTATGAACTCAGTTTCATTCCCTACTATTATCTTCACTAACAATGCTCTGACTGAGCTATCAAAAGCAAAATTTAAATTGATTACAAAGGGTTGGATGGCACAGGTCCCAACATACAGCATCTTACTACGAAATCCGCGGATTATATTCAAAGTTCCCTTTAGACAAAGACGGCCTCTCGATGACGTCATCAAGGAAACAGCGAAAACGGGGGACGTTTCCACTGGGGGACTCAGAAGGTTTTGTGGACGTTTGAGCGTAATATGAATCCTTAAGGTTTTTAGGTTAGCCGTCATCACGATCATTACAAGAGAATGCAACTAGATAACACAATACAGCACAGCACTAATATTTAATATAATTCATGCACACAAACTTCAACACCATGTCACTAGCCAAAGATTTGAACCAAGGACCTCCAACTGGTTAACACTCCTAGTTGCCCCCTATACATACTGTATGTATATTCTAGTCCTAAATAATTGTATTACATTTCTGTAACAATCTAACAATCTTTTCCAGGTGACCTAGATAACAGAAACATAGACTATTAATTTCACTTAAATTTTACAGCCATTTATGAGGTTTATTTTTAACTATCCCTTGAGGGCTGTCACCTCCCCTTCATGTTACCCATAAAAAGATACACTTCCAAGAGATTTAAAACTGGTTTATCCCTGATGCCAAATAAAATATCACACTAAGTATGCTTATTTATGTTGTACAGTATAGACTAAGACATTAGTTCAGTGGAAAACTTTCTTAAGATTCTTAAAACTGTTTTACCATTTTGGTGGCCTCATCCTTCATGCCATTTACTGTCTGTTGCACAACAGTCTGTATCCAGTCTCCTCTAAAGTACCTGGTTAGCATATTACTGTACACACTTGATAACTTTATGCAATGTTTAATCTTACAATAAGTGTGAAGTATGCAAGTTGCATGGCCTTTCTTTTACATGAAAATAAGCTTCCTTGAGTTTCATACGATTGTATATATTTTAGGGACACAATGCAGAAAATACACATGACAGATCATTTGTAAAAAAAATTGCATTGATAAGTGAAAATCTGCCAGTAAAAAAGAATCACAGTTTATTTTTACATTCATATCATGGTAAGTACTCAATTACCATTACCATATTTACCGTAATCTATGTGTTACTTTGTATGTGTATATCTGGAACTAACCCTCATGCTGTAACTGTATGTCTCTAGTATTTAAAACTGCTCAATAATACAGCCAAAGTTAAAATCTGCATTAAGACAGTCAAAATTAGTATCTGTTTAATGCAGTATAATATACAGTATGGCAGATCCAATTTCAAGTGATGACCCCTACAATATTTTCTACTTTGTCAATATTTTCTTAATTTTTCATATTCTCAAAATAATTAGTATCCTTGTCTAGTAGTAACTTAAATAGTCCTTTACAGATGAACAGAGGAAGATTTTATAACCTCCAAGAAATGTTTGAATACTTTATTACATAGCTAGGAACAGATGGCAATTTTCTGCCATTCCTCTTCATCAAGCAGTGGTCACCCACAAATCCTTGAGTTACATAAAGTAAACATCTTGAAACTGAAACATGATACAGTAAATAAACAATACAGTATAACAATATTGCCAAAAATATAAAGTCCCTTATTTTTTGTATGTAATGTTGTTCAGATTGTTAAGATGATATGTGACTTACACATTAGGTGCCATGTGTGATGCTCAAGAAAAATTTAATAAATTAAAATTTGTAATGCATTTTTTTGCAGAATACCCAAAATATCCATAACTCATAGAGCTTCTGCAACATGAAAAAAATAATTTTCTTAAAACTGTTTTAATGTTGCTTCGTAGAATACTTATACCAGCAACCACATTATGTATCAATAAATGCTGGTTTATTTAGAATCTACTTCGAATAAATTTTAGTATTTTCTCTGAATTGATTCATGCAAAAAAAATTCCTTTTTCCATTCATTATTTCTTTCAGTGTGAGCTATCTTAAACATGCTTATTGATATGCCATCCAAGCCATGAAATTTAGTTACCTCACAAATTTTACTCCAGTTCACATTATTAACCATTATTGTAATAATAAAACAGCTTCACAGTGGGATGAAATACAGTAACAAACAACTGGCCATGACTATCAACTCGCCAATTTCCTCATCTCTAGTCCAAAAAAATTGAGGTACGGTAAACAGCAGTGCAAAGTGTAGACTTAACGGATGTCATGACACATCAGTGGAGTTTACAATGCATAAACAAATATTTTCACAAGCAAGTTGGTATTTAAATATAATACTCTACGAGTAAACTCAATGTCCATTGCTTCATATGGAAACTGTAATGAATTCCATTACTTTAATGTCTACTGACACCATTATCCAGTTTATGAACATACTCAAGCCATGTTGAGGATCCACATTATGACAATCAATCACAGTCTTTCATCAAAATGTTTGAAATTTTATTGATTCCAATTTTTCTTTCCCACTTATTTCATGATGACAGAGAAAACTGCAGAGACCTGAGACTGATTTATATTTTATACACTTCACTACCAGTACTGTAAAGTCAAACCAGAAAGTAAATTTTTTTACCTGATCTAAAAAAAATTCAATTGTGTATAAATCTACCTAACATTTAACCGAGCTGATTACTTGAATTAATTCAGTAGTGTACTTGTTTCTA